TGTCTGTTTCATGGACGCGCTGGTGGGACTCAAAACCCTGACTCCCTGGACCCGAGGACTGGTCCACAGCCGTTGGGAGTTGGCGGTTCTGTGACGCCCCTCGAGACCACTGTTGTTGTGATTTCCGGCGATACAAATAAAATTGATTTGATTAAATATCGAATGGCCTGTCTTTGGAAGGTTTTATTCTCTGGTCTGTTGTTGGCAAATGAACAACTTTGCAAAGTCTCCCGAGACGACTGCTGTTGTGATTTAGGGCTGTACTAAAGTTGAATTGAACAAAGCTGGTTGAAACACCCGTGCAATACACTTTACGATCCAAAAAGACGTATAATAATAAGAACATAATAAGTATATATATATATATAATACAAGTTTGAATTGACTTTCTCTGGGAAATAGAGGTATCCCTATTCGAAAAATAGACAGGCGACAGTAGCTCAGTTGTAGAGCATTGGCTTTTGGGCCGGAAGATCGTGGGTTCGAGATTATCACGGGACCTTCTCCAACTGCTCCCACTAATGTCTGCTGTTGTTGTGTCCATGGGCAAGACACTTAACCCCACATTGCCTGAAGCCACCGCTGAAACACCAAGGCTGTGGCACCACTATTGTAGCAGCCATCTTCCTGTGGAGCCACCCCCTGCAGAGTATCAGAGGGACTGGTGCTGAGAGCATTGCGTGGCAGCTCTGAGTGCCACCCCCCGACCCAGAAATGGACTAATACAAGGGTTGAAAATGAATGAATGGATGAACGTTACAGGGCTTTGTATGACCCTGACATAAGATCGCATAAAACTCTATTATGTTCATATAAATTGTGACCAATCGAACCCGGAAGGTTGAATTGATTCCCAATACGAGTGTGTTTTCTTACTGGTCATTCTGCTCCTGGATGGACGTGGCGCCTGAGGTTCAACCATAAACGGCTTTTTTAAGTGAGATTTCCACTAAGCGTTTTCCACCATGTTCATCTGAATGCACAATGTTCTCTCCATCCCTTTCGGCCGGATGGAAATAATTAACGTCAAGGTTCTTGCCCATCACGCATCTGTATGTCCCGCCGCATATCCTCCCCTTTGTGCGATTTTCCCAGCTCAATAATTTATGAATGAAATAGCAGTTTTGAAGTGTTAATAATTTACACGAATGCCCAAATGACTTGGCGGGCGAAAAACTAAACGGAGAGGGTACTTTAATGCTCATTGGCCTCCATTTGTGATGAGAAATTATTAATCATTTGTTTTAGAACAATGAGAGGAGAGATATTGCATCAGAATTGTAAATTAAATGTATGTAATGGCATGTCAGTTGAACAGAGAAGTTATATTGAATCTGAAAGCTGTGGATAGGACCAATATTTTAACACAGTAAAGTCGTATCTGCGCAAAAACGAATGGACCATGTGATTATTTATGTGTTGTGTGATTTTATTGTCTCCATTCTAGTTTTGTAAAGCACTTTGAGCTAATTTCTGTTTCAAATGGGCCATTCAAACTGGATTTCAATAGAAAGTATGTTTTGTGTGATAATAACGTTCAAATAAAAGGGGAGAAGATTGAAAATAAAAGTAGAATTTGCATGTAACCTGCTTCCATTGTTGCGCTTTTGCCGTTTCAACTTTGTCAAAAACATCTGTCACAGTCTGCCACCTACACGGCAAAATCATTTTATTCTTACATTTTATTTGAGAACATATTTATTATAGGGATATATCCATTATATTTACAAGGGGCGCAATGGCAGTATTTTTTTATTTGAAGATAAATTGCTTATTGGCTAAAAAATCTTGGTATTACGTTTAGCATCAATCCAATTACAACTTGAAATGATCGCAGTGCCGGATAAGGCCCGGCTAAGTGCACCCTCTCTGGTAGTTAAAGGCTTGTAAAACATGGAGCTGAAGCCAGGTGTACTAATGCGCCTGGAAAAAAGGTACAACAAAAAGAAGATTCATTTAATCCTAGAGCCACGATGTGACTTCAAATCAGGGGAATTTTATTGAGTGCCAATAAAAATGCAATCTGATAAAAACGTAAATCATGAAAAAGCACTTGGAAATGGCTCTTTGGCTCGTTCTGCTGTAAATCCAAGGCTCAAAAGGATATATTTGTATTGTTATTATTTGACAAGTAATGGGAATGTCATCTCTAAAGGCATGCTTTTAATGATCAGGTGATCAATCAGACTGACTTGTCTCTATGCAGATTTTCAGAAGAAATAGTACAACTTTTCAATGGAGGAAGTAGATTAGAAAACACATTTTCTTGGATACAAGTTGTTAGAAAAGTTACGCAGTAAAGTGGTCAGTGCCTTGGCCAATCTTTGTTAAAGCTGGGACTACACAACTAGCTGGGGAACTATCAATGACTAGTTGCTTGCTCTAAAAATGTTCCAGCTGAGGCTGAAGAACGGGGTTGGTCGACACTGGTGCAGCCTGTGGGAGTAGGCTTACAGGAGCTTTGTCGTCAAATCCAGTGTAAGATTTTGTTTAAAGAAGTTGAAGAAGGCATTAGAGGCGCAGATGAAACTAATAAAGGAATTAGCAACAGCAGCAGAAAGCAGTCACTGGCTGTGGCTGAGGAGAAAGAATCATGATGGGGAGCAAAGTAACCACTCAGTTACTCGCCCAGGTCTGCTCAGTGGATCTGCGGTGACCCAGCCCCAGTGGAGGGTGTATTAACTCATTGACTGCCATTGACGGAATTTCCTGAGAAACTTCCCTCTATTCAACTGGGGATTAAAGGAGAAAAAAAACAGCTTGAAACCAAATTTCTTTTGTTGATGAAAGTAGTCAATCCAGTCTTTCAGAATCTGGTTTCAAACTTCCACACAGTCATAGCCCATAATATTCTGTGGGCCTTGACAATCAGTGAAATCATCAAAAACGACTGAAGGCTGAACCACCCGATGACAGGAGGTAACATATCAGACTGGTCCAACACATGATCACAAGACTTCAAGTTTCAACACTGAGATGAATTAACTGGGCGTGAAACACCAAGTCCTCTTTCTTACTTCCATGTTCCTAGAAACAGGAATGTGGTTATATCACTAGTTTTTACAATATTTCTTCACTTTATAATAGCTTCTTTGGAGAAAAATTTTAGAAAGAAAGGACCAACCTCACTCGGCCAATCAGCTGTCAGCCTCTCAAAGACTCTCAAACTGAGACTTCTACTACTACTATTACTGAAGTCTCATGTATTCACAAAATGTCACAAGACTTTACTTTGTTGGGACAAACAATATCTATGTGTAAAAATTTAGGTGCCCCAGCTTTTAAGGCATGTGTGGGGCTTTTAAGGCTGGCTCTTCCCGTTAGCTCCTTATACAAAACCTACAGCTAACTACATCAACTGCCCTTTTATGCCGTCTTTTTTGCAATAATCTTGGCTAGAAACTGATGCAAAAGACAAAATCTTATTGCATCTTTATGTTTTCATAATCTATTAAGTTTACGCTCAGATCAGATGCTTTCCACGGTCATTCAAGTGATCAGTCGGCTTGACCTAGATTCAAACCGACAAAACCTTTGATCCACACCACACTTTGTAGTGCTAACAGCATATCTTACTCTCATGTTGGCTGTCATTGCATTGAACAAATCTCTAGATCTCGTCCGATGTAATATTTTGTGTCTTGTTAACGTCTCTCTGGTATAAATGCTGTTCCTCTCTCAATGCCATTGCAGATCTCTTCCGTTATTAATGGGGACGATAATATTGTGGAAGCAGGCTATTCTAAGACCCAGCAGAAGTCTCATCCGTCGTCGATTCATTGAGATACAGCATTGCTTCTGTCCCTCAGGTTTGTCGATCTAACATGATAGAAGCCGAAGTGAGACAGGTAGAACGCTGCTATCAATCGCTTTCCTTCTGAGGGGGAGACAAGACAAGGAAGCAGCCAGTTCCTTGTGGTAGAGCGTTTAATAATTCAGCATCCACCCGCTATTCAAGAATTTCCTGTGGTTTGACGATAATCAATAGTGTCTTCTTTTGCGCTCCCCTTGCCGACCCTGTAATTCATGATTAAATGCATCCTCCAGGAAGTTACATGTTTATTATTGACTTTTGCCATTGGGTTTCAGAGCTAAGGACCTGAACTCCTTTCGTCTTTTGCCTTAGTGTAACTATTAGTCGCATTATTAGAAGTCAGGAAAGTGCAGCACGCATGAGGAATGAGTACACCTGGCCACAGCAGAGTAAACAAGCTGCTTTTTAAGAACTGCGTATACTGTAGTTAAGAAGGAAAGTTGAAAAATGAGCTGTCAGAACATAACTGTATGGGCCACACAGCATAACCAAGGGTATATAAATGTGGTGGAAAAGTTTTGGTTGGATACTTGCTGTGTGTACCGCAGTCATATGGTCCAAAGATTACTTAAATATGTGTCTATAGTGTACTCCCTAATGTTTCATGGTTATACAAAAGCTATATATGAAACATCATCCAGCCAACCTATTTTCCCCTGACAGCAATGTGGAAAATATGGTCCAAAAAAACCCCCAGAATTTTCAGATTTTGTGTAGTCATAATCATGTAAGTGCTTTGCAAATAAAAAAAATAAAAAGATAAGACTAAAAATAAGCAAAAATCTAATTAATTAGGAAAATGTATCTTGAAGATTGAAAATATTTGGACACATTTTGTTTTTTTTTTGACACATCTTTGAGTGTTGCACAACTCAGGCTTGACTAAAAGACATTTTGGAGAAAGGCGTTAACATACAGTGAGGTAAACATTTCATATGTGCCATTGTTATGCAAACTCCAATAAATAAAACAAATTACATAAATAAAACAATTTGCTAATTTGCTAAAACTGTGCAGCCCTAGGGTTCAAATTTCATACACAATTTTTGTATGAAATCTGACTGTTTTTGCATGTTTCTCACCCCTCTTCCTCGTGCTGCTGTTTGTCAGTGAGACGTCAGCTGTACAGTATGTAAGGTGTGCTATTTCCAGGTTCCTCAATGTTGTCGGCTGCGAACAAACTCACTCATCGTCCACGTAGCAGGGGTAGGGTATCTGCTGCGCATACACCCCGAGTGTCTGGTTCCTCCCCGTGTGCAGGCGGATGATGGCGTGGTCGATCATGTCCTGCAGGTAGGAGAAGCCGCCCCATATATAGCGCAGGTCGTTAAAGCTGCTGTCCCTGGCCCCAGGAGACCATCCCCTTATTAAAGTAGACACAAAGGGATCTGTCTTAGCAAATGCCAGGTTAAAAAAAACACAGCAATATCTTAAGGTCATATTTCCACATGGTTAAGTTTAAAGGACTTGTTTGAGTATGAAAATGAGGGCATTAAAAGTCGATAGCTGGAAAGATTTATGAATTTATCACAATAATCGACGCACGGTTTGTATCAGAGGTGCTTGTTCCTGGTGAATAATGCTTCACAGTATTCTTGGGTTTCATATGACGTCAGGGCAGTGGCGCGAATAACAAATGTAGGACAGGACGTGAAGTATCCTGGCGGTGCAGTCTGCCGGGTTTATACACGGAGATATAGTAGAATAAGAAGTGCGGTCAAAATGCCATCGTTTTGTGCGGTGAACGTTTGTAGCAATCGCACAAATAGAGAGAAAGACAAGAGTTTGTTCATGTTCCAACTGTGGTCTCATATAAAGGAGGACTCTTTGAAAAAAATCACTGCAATGAGGCGGGCGAGGTGGATCAAGGTTTTTTCCAGATAAGCGCCCCCTGCAGGCCACCCCAATGAAACGCAGCAATTTCTTCTGTTTTTCTTTCCAAAACTGCCCGAAATCAAGACTCTTTTGAGAAATATTTGTTAGTTCTCCCTTAGAATTGAGTGTCCCTGATTAAGACTGTTCCAACAACCGTACACCGCACAGGAGGAGAGCCTTTGACTCCAAAACAGACTTTACATGGTTTTCAATGGGAGCAACACTGTCCCACCTCTGCTCATGCGCCCCCTACAGGCCAGTTTAATGAAACACAAGAATATACAGTAAACTATCTTTAAAGCTTGAGTTTAATGACTTTGAAACCAAACGCATTGTCAGTAATAAAATACATGTAATGAGTTCTTAGCTCTCAAAACTGTTGGTGGTTAAGTTAGTCAAGTTAAGTGGTAAGTTATCGCAAATGATTAGTAGTCTGGTGTTAGCCGGGCTATTATGGCGCTCTTATAACACTTTGTAAGCAACTCATCATTCAGCCAGTTTTTAATTATTACTTTTTGCACCTGTACCATGGTTAATTTCCGAGTCTCTCCAGATCAAACAAGAGGAGACAAGGCTTTTTATATGATTTGTAACAATATGCATAAGAACAGAAGAAGTCATCGCTTGAGATATTAATGACGCATGCATAAGATATGGATACTGTAGTAACAATGTGGGTCAGAACAAATACGAACAGCTATTCAGATAATAATGTCTAGCAGTAATACAGATATGACCGCTCAGATTCCACACTGCGTTTCCTCACATCCTCACAAAGAAAACCCTAAGTGGAAAGTATGAAGACAAACGTTATTCTAACCTCTCCTCGATTTTGTTGGTCCTCTCGACTTCATTGATATTCATCCGCAGCTTATACTTCATGTACAGCGGCATCTCAGTGGAGCTTTGAGTGACGGTTTCAAAGACAATTCCAGCCCAATACGTCTCATTGTCGAGGAGATCCAACGCTCTGCTGACCAAAGTTCCCTCCGTTGGCATCGCCTCAAACTTATCGAGCTCCAGACACTGTTGAGCACATTCAAGAGAACACGAGAATGGTAAGAAGCAGGGAAACTGAAATGCTTGTACCTGAATCATTATTTTAGGATTTAGAAATGATTGTAAGTAGTGCAACATATCAATTAAAAAAAATATATTTGAAATTACCAATTAAATCAGCCACATGGGATGAGAATATTGTGGTTTTGCATTTAAAATAAATCATGAATCTAAATATGGAAAAAATAAAAATAATTAAAACTAAAGTAAAAATACTGACCATAATTATGATCATATTTAACAAGACTGGAAAAGGTTTCAAAGGAGGTTGCATTTGTATCATTGTGGCGGAGGGCAGTTGGAAATGTTTTCTTGGTAACAACGGTAACTTCAAAAAGTATTGCATCTTCCTTGTCAGAACATATCAACTATGATGATTTTTCTCTTAAAGGTGTCTATAATATCTAAAATATGTGTCTATAATGTCTAAAATATAAAAAAAACACATATGCATGATGTAGGCCAGTAGAAAGGACTTCAGACATAATTATTTGATTCACAAACCTATCAAAATAACTTTATATCGGGCAACATTTGGTAATTTCTTTCAAAAATGGCTTCTTTCCCAGAGTTGTATTGCGTCGTGACAGATTTTCTATATTAACCCGAACCAAACCAGTGTCTTTGAGTGATCTATGGAAGAAATGAAAGGCACATACCGCATATAATAATTGTATAAAGTAAGAATCCAAGCTGTGGAGAAGAAATGTGCACACCCTCGAGGGGGCTTGTAGTCCTTCTGCCCCCGGATCAAAGCCAAAGTTCACACTTTCACAGCCACAAGGGAAGGGAAGGGTGAGAGCAGAGAGGAGAGGAGAGAGAACAGTTTTCATGACCTCAAAGTGACAGCTCTTTTACACCCCTGGATTCTTATTTAAAAATGAATGTCATGAATAAAAAGAAAGACCCTCTGTATTTTAAATTTATCGTATGTTTTTTTTAAAAATGTTGTTAATAAATAATAGTAATTTTCCGCTACAATGGGATTCAATGAGTCGCATTGTAATTATCATGTGATATATCTTGGATCTTTTAAAACTCTTTTGAAAAAACTATGGCTAAAGCTGAACTCATCATTATGCCGTATGTCAATATGCAGGACTGAGTTTCCACAGAAGCTAGCATATCTCTTGGCACCGTCACGAGGAGGAGGACCTTGATTCCGCCACGGTTTAAAATCACATGCATTGTGACCAGTGTGGGTGGGTCGCTGCTCAAAAGTGGCCAAAATGACGTGCGCTGACATGCTGCAATACCACCCCGGGCCTGTGGGGGGGGGACCCGGAATAAGAATCAGCCAATGCTAACATATAGCATCTTCTTACCTCTCGTGTGTTTTGGACCAGTCTAGTTTAGTCGCTGTGAATTTTAGAAGTCACTCGTTTAAATGAATGGAACTCGTGTAGCTGACTCATGCACAGATGCGTTTTTTCACATTTTCCAGCCCCCGCGGCCATTTTGAATCACTCCATGAAAGCCCAATTTTTGGCCCATTAGTCAGAACGGCGGAGATAGGCCTGACTACATCCGTTAATATATACAGTCTATGATTGCGACATGATCCCAGTCATGTTTGTAAATATATCAAAATAATTAGTTCTACATCCAAATCCCATCCCTACTAGAGCCTTTTTTACAACACGTTATTGGCCTATTGTGGTTGCTGTAAAAGAAATCAGACCATCAACGTGCTCAATATTGGCACAAAAAGTGTAACAAACCATTCTGCAAAGACCAAAGAACCTGGTGGACTAGCAGAATAAAAGCCCGATCCAAAAGCTGCACTGAGCATGTAATAATGACATGACACACTGGCAGATGGGTGTTTTGAGAATACAGTCTACCCCTCTAGTGTAGTTCAAAACGATGCGGTGGTGCCAGAGGGTGGGAAATGTTTTGGGCCCCGGCACAATCACTAAAATGAGATACTGCCCCCCCCCCCCCCCCCCCTCCTCCTCTGTATCCGCGGCCCACCATTCACGAGGCGCTAATGAGCTTGGCGTCCCCAGAGCCAGTCACTCCTGACAGCTGTCCGCACATCTCGCTGCTGCAACAGTTTTGTCATTCCCAAATTCACAAGTCGTTATAGATACGGTTTTTGGGTGGAAAAAATAAATTGCATTTGTTTGTCACGGATTGGTGAAGATTTAATGGGGGGGTAAATGGTGAAATGGGATATTATTTTGACCGGTTCTGGCCGTATTTTATTCAGATGTTGCTATCACCAGCTCATCATGTCTCGGTTTAAAGATGCATTTGAAATTGTTTTCTGGTGGAAGGTCTGTCATCTCTTTGTCTCTAAGGAGATTTTATGGCTTTGACTGGTAACTTGATCCAAAAAAAAACATCACAATGTCAAAGTACAGATATGATGTAATTGCAATTTGTATATAATGTGGAAAAATGATTACTCCATATCCAAATATAGTTTTATTTTCCCGAAAACTGCACTGCGAACCGTGCCAGAATGACCTCAGCTTATCAGGATCACAAACTACAAAAATCTCTCATAACCTCATCGCTAAGATAACTATGTAGTAAAATCCATATAGTTCCTTTCTCTCAAAACTGTGTAGTTCTATAACTAGTTTTCGCAATTTTTGGCTTTAGACCAGTGGAAAAACAGTACCAGGATAAAGAAAGATGCAATGTGGCATGATGAAGGCAGCCGGTTTCTATCTGGTTTTCTTTTCCATTCCATTTTCTTCTGCTTTATCCATTGGCAGGTCACAGAGGCAGCAGTATGAGCAGAGACGCCCAAACTTCCCCATCCACCCTTCTCCCAGCTCCCACCAGGGTCTAGGCTCCAGGGAATTTCATCTCATAATCTCTGTCCCCTTCTCTAACCCTAACCCTAACCCATTGTGACGTGCTTTGCCGGGGTCTAAGCGCCAAATCATAACCACGTTTCTGTACAGCAAAAATAAATGTAATCTTGAAAATATTGTCTTCAGAGTCATCTGTGAGATTTGCGTAGCGTCAGATTACTTGCCAACCAATTTACAGTTCTAATAATACCCATGTTTTGTCCGTTCGAGTCTCTCTTGCGGCTTATATTCAAGTGCGGCCTGTATGTTTTCTTTTAAAAAATCTAGGTTGTGTGGATTATGTACAGATGTGCACCTTATTGTCCAGAAAGTATGGTACTTTCTTCTGTTGGGAAAAACAATGTATTTATGAAACAACTCCAGCTATAATACAAAAAATAAAGACGAAATTGTTATGTTTATTTTTTGGGGGGGGGGGATATTAAATACTGTAGACTTTATTTTAGTTGTGCAATGTATGTATGTATGTATGTAGTCGAAAGAATTCTATTATGAGCTTGCAAAAAGAACAATGACATATGGTAATTAACTGGTCACTTTAGACCAGGGGTGTCCAAACTTTTCAATAAGCGGGCCACTTTAGCTCACCAGACTAGTCAAGGGGTCGACATCACAGACTGAAAAACTGTCTTGACTGGCATCGGGCTGTTCTGAGCTTTATGATGATCTATAACGGAGCTGAAGTTGGCTGAATGACAAATATTTACCATCTACAGCTACATTAGCATAAATAACGCAAGTGACACAATCAAAAACCACCTCAGTACGTTCTGGGTTTTAGAACAAGGTCTCTATTGGCTGAGCTGGAGTTGGATGGATGACACAGTGAACTTGTGTTTATGATCTCAAAGACTACTTTGGGTTAGCGAGGCAGAGGGCCACATAAAATGACACTGAGGGCCGCAATTGGCCCCCGGGCCTGAGTTTGGACATGCCTGCTTTAGACAATGTGTAGGCTCATCTTCTTCCCTTTTGTCCATTTCCGGGTCGAGGGGTACAATGTGTAAGCAACATGCAATATTGTTCACGAGAATCTAGAATCAATGTGCCAGACTGGACTGAACTGGATCAAATGTATGGAGATTTTCTGAGCATGAGAAGTAGCGTGGAGCAGTCGTGGTTAATTGAACTAGAAATTAAACTTAACAACTGGAAATGAACTGAACTTATTTCATTGAATGCTTTTAAGTTGAGATTAAGACATTCTTAGCCCGGCCTTATCCACCCGTACTCTCCGCTCAATCATCATTTCCTGCATGTAACGTCTGGGTCTGGTCCCTGTGTTTGCGATTACAATCGGTTGAATTTTGACCGACAAATCAGAGAGCGCGGAAGTGTTGTAGTTAGTTGTGGGTGACGTCAAGAGGTTGCGTCGAACGGGCAGGTTGTAGTTTGGCGAAAAATGCAATAGTAAAGTAATCCGGTCTGAAGCCGGAGCAAGAGGAATGTTTAGCAAATGTAATCGCTGCAAAGATTGTGGCGCTACACCCCACGGCTCCGTTAGCGGCAAAGGCTGCTAGGCGGCTAGGCTAAATGCTAACAACAGACTCGGGCGCACTACATACGTCACAGTAAACTCAGATCCAATCATTTCAATCTGCAAAAGGAGTTAACCCCTCCCACCTGTTAACGGAGTCAATGGAGCCAATCCAGACCTTAGTACAAAATATAATTTGTACCATGGTGTGGTACGACCAGGCTAAGACATCCTCATTGACGTGTAACTGTTTTAATAGTCTGAAACTGTATGTAATTGTGTGTAACTCTTGCTGCCTCTTGCCCCCAGGAAAGACGTTCTTATTTTCAACGGGACTTTCTTGGTTAAATAAATAAATAAAACGGTTGCATCATGTGGTCCAGTGAGTGATAGGACAGGCCTGTGGTTACGGTGGAATCTCATTATCAACACGGTGCTGCTGCCCAGACATGAGTTGGTGTCAGAGTTTCTGTAACCTCATTGTGAACGAAATGGATGTGCCCCTGTCGACGGAGAGCGTGAGGGGTCAGCGCGCTTCAAAACCCTGTCAGACGTCAACAGAAATAGGACGGACACTTGTTTGACAGGGACAAGAACTTTTGAAAAACCAACAGGTCTGACCCCTTCACTCACTCCTGACGCAACATTCTCCCCGGCACAAAATCCTCAACTTCAGAAAACTGTCAGAGAGCTGCTTTAAAACTATATTGAAGCACAGAGGATGAAAAAAAGGTTATTTCTAGTTAAAGCTGGTGTACGTAACTTTTTCTCTCATAAAAAACCATTGAAAACATCTTATCTTTTGCATACTTGTAAGGAGGAGCCCAGTGCATCACTATTTGAAGCTGATTGACTGGGTCCTTTTTTTTGTTTTTTTTTTTTTTTTATTTCTGTCTGAAAATGCTGAGATGAAACAGAGGCCAACAATACCTGCATCTCTAAAAATTATAGCGACAGAAACAAACCGTTTTGAGAACAAGAAACACATTTGTAGTTCCAGTTTTTGAGATTTAAAAGTAGGCAGAGTAGGTAAATATTTGGATGCATGGCCCACATTACGTTCCATTGAAATAGAAAGGTAAAAACAATATACAAACAAAATATTGTATCTAAATATTACAGCAAAAGGAACACGATCATATAGAAAAGTAAATGTCACTATTCTGAAGATGTAAGCCAGCTCACACCTTTTTTAAACAACCGACCATTAATAAAACATGTTTTTTTACTAGGGCTGTCAAACAATTCAAAAGTTTATTCGAGTTATTTACAGCTTAAAAATGTATTAATTGTAATTAATCACATTTCGAACTATCGCAAAATCATGCCACATTTTTCTGTAAATGGTCGTTTAAATGGAAAAATAAATGAGTGCATAGTGTACACATGTACTGTATTTGTTTATTCTAACAATAAATCCACATTAAACGGCATTAACATTATTAACATTCTGTAGTAGACAGTATTTTTTCTAAGTTGTATTAAAAGTTGTATTAAAAGTTGTATTAAAACCCGTAATTTAATTGAAAAGTTTAGCTCATGATTCGGCTGGTGTACGAGTTCAGGTGATGCTGGTTCTCCTAGGCCACGCCCCCTCTAGCCACGCCCCCCCCCGTACGTAAACAACATTAGCATGGTTGGAGAAGGTCGGGTGAATATAGCTAGCTTACTCTAATCGTATCCTCTGGAGAGACCTGCGGGACCGCCTGTCGGAATCGGGACGGAAGCGGAAGTAAAAATAACAAACTACCTATTCATGCCTAAACTTCCATTCTCATAAAATAACCCCAACCCAGCCTTAACCCTAAACTTAACCATCTTACAATAAGTCACTTTAAATGATCACTGTGTGAAAACCTGCACTACTATTGACACTGTTTCCAATTGACACTTGTCACTTTTGTTGTACATAATTATTGTCACTTTTGTTGTACATAATTATTGTCACTTTTATTGTACATATATATCCTGCATGTAACATGTTTGCACATTTCCTCCTTTTGCACAATCTGAGTGTTCTATCCATGCCAAATGTGACATGTATATTTCTCCTCTGTGAGATAAATAAAGCTTATCTTATCTTACTTAAACACCTAAAACTTAACCAGTCACCATTTAAGGACGAATTAGTCTAAAATTAATGTGAAAGTAGGATTGTTACTTCCGGTTTCGTCCCGATTCCGTATATGATCTAGTGCCGACCCATTCGGCACATGCGTTCATTTTTTTAACGCGATTAATGAAAACAATAATATTGACAGCCCTAGTTTTTTACATATGCCAATAATGACATCCTCTGCTAGTTAAAGATTGAGGTTTGGAGTTAAAATGGTGAATGGGTCATTTTTCAGACCTGTTAAGAATCCCAGTCAAACCAAAATGCAAATCTTACCCCAATAAATGTTGACAGGAGTTTGAGGCTTTGAGTAATGGTTTTGTACATGTCTCTCCAATCAGACTGTGGCATGTCTGGGGGACGGTCTTCTGGGGGGCCATTGTAGAGGAAGTTGGCCAGTAACTCTGAGGTCCAGCCAGTTCCATTGAGACGCTGGTCCACAAGCGCAGCAAACAGTGGATTCTTCAACAGTCTCTGTGATGTAAACAAGACAGTGACAAAACATTAGTTATGTCATATTTTGCAGGGCTGTAAAAATATATAGGGATTAGACGAGCCTGGAATATGTGGAAGATGTGACTTTAGGGGGCATTCACACTCATTTCATCGGCCTGTGCTTATTGGTAAATTCTCACAACAATAACGTCCCAAGCTGATCAGAGCGGGGAGAGTTTTTTGCGCAATTGTGTTTTTTATTCCTTGTTTTTGTTTTTGTTAATCTTGAGGTCCATAGGAAAAGTTTGTAGCACCTACCTCCATGCTGGGTTAGGGTTGGGCTTAAGCTAGCAACTTACTTTCCAGATAATAGGACTTCCTTGTTTTGATTCGGGAGCATTCATTCACATCATGATTCAATAGAATCGAGACAGAACGCAGTTGAATCCAGCAAGACTCCCATGAATCCCAGTGGAATGATTGGATTGTGCGTTCACACTAACCAAGCAACTGGAGCAAACGTTCATTTCAGCTTTTGTCCCGACAGAGTAAGCTTTGCGTCGTAACAAGGGCAAATGTAAACTAACTTGGATGGTTAACATGGTTGCTAAGGCAAGCTGGACAAGGAAGACATCCGCCCCTTTTATCCATACCAGTCTAAACCACATGTCATTCAGGCCAAACTGGTTAGTGTTACTTAAACGGTTACTGAGCAAGAGGGGTTTACTTTTTTAAGATAAGTCAATGGGAGCCGGATCAGATCGTAGCCAAACTTCATCCATGAGCACTTCCCAAGATGGCTTCATTGGCCTAGTGAGATAGCTCTGTCTGTCTCTATACAGTCTATGATATGGGCCCCGTGATGCGAGCTGTATGGATAAAACCGGAGTCGCATTTAATCATGTGATAAATAATTGAAGGAGGCGCAACGATGAGAGAGCGAACACGACAACCCTCTCGCCGCAACAATAAACAGATAATAATATAACGTTTTGCAGTGAGAATAAAAAAATAAAAACACTTTCAAGATCAGTACGCATTAGCTTGTGCATAATAAGCTCACACCTACTTGTTGGTTAAATGCGTTGCCCTCCATTTAGTCGCCACAACCATTCCCATTACTCCCACCGTGTATTTGCATAGTTGCCTTCAGCTCTGAAATTAACACCCCAGTAATGGTAGGGCATTGTAGCGATAATGATAGTGTGATTACAGGCTAAAATTAACCGCGATATTATACCTGTCATGTACGTTTGAATCAAGACAAATGATTGTTTTTGAGATTGCATGTTGCGGAGGAGCTGTACGTCGCAGTAAAGAGAAGACTAGGCTGAGGTCACGGCTGAATGGTAAATACGGAAATATTAATATTTATAGACAAAGCAAAGAATGAATCTTGTGAATATCAATTAATGTTTTGTTATTGTTGCATGCGCTGTGATCAGACTTGAAAGTATCCCGGTGGGTAGGACGGAAAGAACATAAGTCTGAAGCATGTGGGAAAAAATATAACAAAGAAACAGTATTGAGAAATGTGTTTTTTAATTAGAGCTGTTTTTCTTTCAAAGTTATATTTAATGGGAATTTAAAATCAAAGCAATGTTTTATGGTTCAGTGACAAAGAGAAAGGATTTTGGCTCCTACAGGAATACTTCACTTCTATTGGTGCATTTAGATCCACTGAAGATGCATTCATTTAATTCATATTTAAATTCTCAACCTCATGCATGTATTTACGGATTTACTTTTATTTAAATATAAAACAAAAAGTAAATGTGAAAAACATAAATCAGTTTTCATACCCCTTACTCTCCATTGCATGTATTTCCAAGAGTAGAAAAAATATGTTTATCTGTTTACAAAGTTCTAAGGATATATGTCTCTGTATCAGTAAACAACATTTATATTGTTTGAACTTAATATTATTCATATTAATCTAAACGTCTTCAATTATTTAGTTATATGAAGGAGATGACAAAGTCTGGGATCGTGTCTTTAATTCAGACAGAAGACATTTTTTGTTGATGGTAGAGCACGAACACGAACAAAGAATGATAATATAGCATGGAGGAATGAACACCGTCCAATCAGCTTTCGCCGCGATGCCAGTAGCTTTGGCCTTCAGATAGACAAAACATGCTGTAAAAAAGGTACTGGCTTCTGCATATGTTAGAATGAAGAGTTAGAACTTTAACCATAGTTGCTTCAAAGTGTCATGAAATCTCTAAATTGCGTAGGTTTCCTCCGGGTGCTCCGGTTTCCCCTACCACTAAAAACATGTCCAATAGGTCTGGCATGTGCCTCCTGTTCTGGCCCCGCTCCCATCTCTGTGTGGAATGAGAGACAAAATCCCAAAAAAACAACAATTGTAAACCGCTTTGTGACTCTGGTCTGTGAACGGCGGTATATAAATAAAGCTTACTTACTTACTAAATTCTCTAAATACAGACAATCCCAAGTTTCCAAGATCAAGTATAATTTTTTTGTTTTAAAGAGCCTACACATAGCTGCGTTGTGTATTTAGATTTTAAAAAACCTATTATGACGCATAGTACAAATTCGACCAAAGCACTTACAGTTACTTTGGAAATTTGGGAAGAGAGATTAAAACGTTTTGAAGACAAAGCACCAATTAAACCCTCCCATCCTCACCCCTGCAGCTTCTTGATTGGTCAAAACAAATTCAAATCCTTGTGGGCCCTCGTGATTGGTTTAACTCTTCTCTTACTGGCCGTAGTTACGCCAAGAGGAGAGACTACTTTAAAAAACATTATTGTTCAAAAATACCAACTGAACATAATATTACAGTGTCCCATGGTCATAAATGACATTGTTTTCAAAATGAAATACAATTTAAGTTGCCGGTGTCACCTTTAAATATATTTATCGCCGCATATACAACAAAGCAATTGCAAATTTATGGATACTAGCGCCAGGAAAGTACCACAGCTCTCCTTTAAATCATCATGTGGACATAAAGATACCACAAGACATAACAATCCCCGCGCGTTGCAAAGCCCCGACAGGAAACGTCCTTCTCCGCATGTCTTCCTCATCCTCCGCTCCGTCCCTATCTCCGATCTGTTCGTTGTTGTGATAGTAATTGGTCCATCAACGTAAAACGAGTCTGCGACCTTGAAGGACCTCCGGGGATGACGAACCGTTGGGGAAAGAAGGCGCAGCGGAGGTGGTGGTGGATGAGAGAGAGCGGCTCAGGCAGGGTAAAATGAAGACAAAGGAGGACTGCGGGCCCATTTGTGTAAAGGTTAGGGCTAGGGTAATGAATACTCGGGCTGTAGGAGCGGCCGGTGTCTGCTACCCTCCAGCTGCTGCCTATAAGCTCATTTGGAGTGACACCGGAGTGATGTCGGTGTCAAGGAAATACAGGGAGAGGCATCGGGAAAGCAGCAAAGTGTCCACGTCCTCCACTTGCGCAGATAATCCGTTCAGCCGCCGCCGAAATTATCCTGCACTTATCCGTAATTACCTCCCCCTGCTGTTTCTGCATATGATAGCAAGCCGCAAATGAATATACATAATGTGAGCAGTGTATGTGTTCCACTGTGTGTGTGCATGCAAGGTCAACGGGATAGCAATGTGTATGTAAATGTGCCTGTACAGTAAATGACAACATGTAATGATGAGGGAATTAGTATTAGCCTTTTACCGCAATGAAAACAAAAAATAGTGTGTCCTTGAACCGATAATCTCCTTGTTTAGGGATGTTTAGTGGATTATTCAAAGCTTACTGTGAGTGTGGGGCTGGCACGGCTTTCTTCACCCTTTCTTATATGTCCTTAATTGAATTTTGGCTTAATTTAATTACGAGTAAATTCTTGAAGATGATAATTCTGTATGTTTTTTGAAGGAATTACAACTAATAAAAAGGTTAAAGCTGGGGTACCTAACTTTAATTTGTCCCTGCTCCTGTCCTTTTTTCGAAAACTCTTGCTGTTTGCGTACAGCTGTATCAGTCACTATTTGACAGGCTTAAAGCTGATTGGCTAAACAAAGGTGGATCTCTGTTTTTCACGTTTCTGTCTGAAATAAGCAGATCTTAAGATGTGACAGAAGCCAAACATACATGTAGACTATTGATAGAAGCAAACTGGTTTTTTGAGGGTTTAATATCTATGTATTTTGCCAGAAGTCCCGCCTCTCAGTTCGCAGGGCCTATATATTATTCCTAAATTTGATCCTCTCCTGTGTCCTGTGTTATGCCGGTCCTCTACTGTCCTTCACATCCTCACAGCGATCCACACAGGCCTTTATTGCATTCACAGCGATTCTATTTTTGCCAATATCACAAGAAAAATAGTTTTAGCTGCTAACAGGCTACATCCACAGAGCATGTGCGGCCGCCTATGCTCTTGAACGGAAAAGGGGGACGCTTACTTGGGGCTGAGCACAATGATTGACGTGAAATAGTAATTATTTTCATACACATTACATTTTTAATTGGTAGAAACATCTCCCTCAATACATAAATGCAAGGTAGGTAGGTAGGCAAGTACTATCAGCAGTCGGGGGTTAGTTACTTGCTTCAATACAAGCAAAAGTAATTCTTGAAATCAACACAGATAAGAAAGCTGTGAAAAATTAAAGAACACATAAACTTACCCGAAATGAATTGACTTGAAAGCTATTCTGAAGGAAGTTGTACACACGTGGGCCAAGTTCATCCTCCCATGAATCAGCAATCTCCTTCAACATGGCCAAGGTGTTAAACGTGCTGTTTGCCTAAAGAAAAACAAACGTCACCAACAAATACAGTTTTTAGAAACCACTATTTTGAGTAAAGTTGGCTTCCGGGGAAACTCACTTCCTGCATCATGAGGCGAGTCATGGGCGTATCAGGCGTGAAGAGGACTTTTCCCTGCACCAGCGGCTTGAAGGTGCTCCAAATGTAGCGCAGCTGCGGAGTGTTCTGCAGGATGTCACGCAGGGTCTGACAAAAATCTGAGGAGAGGACTCGCAATGTTAAAGGGATTTTTATAGTAACTAGGTCAAAGACTTTAGATTCTTCAGCTAAATGTTGACATGGAGACCAAAACTGTACTCATGTTTTATCGTTTTAAAAACTAGAATATATTTACTCTTATTGACCTTTATGCAGGTTATAACTGAGGAAAGGCAAGTCAATTTTAAGTGTTAATTAAGTCAGATAACCTAACTAGAAGTAAGTAATTAGGTCATAAATATGTATATAGTTCATACGTTTATTTAGCCATTTGCTGTTAACACCACATTGGAAGTTGTCCTCTGGATTTGACCCATCCGTCAATGCCACTAGGGAAACCTCTCAGGAGCAGTGGTTGCTATAGTACAGCGCCTGGGGCCCTATCTCCAGTTGTTGATGCTCGACTTGGTCAGGACTATCAGAGCTGCATGTTTTGGGTGGTGGGGGAAGAAAAACTCTGAAATATAAACTCCTGACAAAAAGGCCCAAGACCAATTTAACCGTTAGTGCTAGTCCACTCAGCTACTGTGCAGCACACAGCGCTTCCCGGGTCACAAAGCGCTCTACAGTTTGGTGTATGATTTCACACTTCACACAGCGGTAGGCCACTATTGTAAGGCAAGGCAAGGCAAGGCAAGTTTATTTATATAGCACAATTCATACACAAGGCAATTCAAAGTGCTGAACAAAACAAGAAAGCATTAAAATCATAAATTATCACAGAACATTAAAAAGAAAGATAAAAATATAAAATCCCTCAGTTGTATGCACAGTTAAACAGAACCGTCTTTAACCTGGTTTTAAACATTGTCAGAGAGGAGGCCTGTCTCACATCTTCAGGAAGACTGTTCCAGATTTTAGCAGCATTAATCTGAAAAGCAGCCTCCCCATGTTTAGTTCTGACTCTGGGCACTAACAGGAGTCCAGTCCCTGTGCTCCTCAGAGTCCGGGCTGGTTCATATGGGACTAACATGTCACTAATATATTTTGGTGCGAGGCCATGGAGAGACTTGTACACAAGCAGAGCTGTTTCAAAGTCTATTCTCTGAGCCACAGGAAGCCAGTGCAGAGACCTGAGGGCTGGACTAATGTGGTCGTACTTCCTGGTTCTAGTCAGGACTCGAGCTGCTGCATTTTGAATGTACTGCAGCTGTTTTACAGCCTGTTTGGACAGACCTGTGAGCAGGCCATTGCAGTAGTCTAACCTACTGGAGACAAATGCATGGATAAGAATCTCCAAGTCTGCTTTAGACACTATGTTTTTGATCCTGGCAATGTTTTTTAGATGGTAAAAAGCTGCTGATCTTACTGATTTGATGTGGCTATTAAAATTTAAGTCTGAGTCCAGTATTACCCCTAGATTTCTGACCTTGTTTGAAGGTTTTAGGGAGAGAGACTGTAGGTGACAGATGACGCTCTCTCTTTGTTTCTGGGGACCAAAGACAATCATTTCAGTTTTGTCTGCGTTTAGCTGAAGGAAGTTGTTTTGCATCCACTCACTGATCTGTTGGATACAGTGAAGGAGTGAGTCCACTTGTAGCCACATCTCCCCTGGAGCACACTGACAGAAACAGGAGGCACCAACCTCCATTTTTTTTTTATTTTGTATGTGGTAATAGCACTCAGGAAACCTTTGCAGTCACAGAGAACATGCAAAACTCTTGGGCACACATGTCTCATTCAAGGCTAAGCAATAACACTCTCCATTCAGAAAACCATGAGTGAGGTATCGATCATCTTTAGTGGTTGGTGAAACATTTATTTCCTGAGAGCTGGAGTCTTAATTGCAGGAGATAGAGAGATATTTTATTGATCCCCGTAGGAGAAATCCAGGTGTCCAGTAGCAGCAAAAATAGAAAACAAAATTGATCATTCTAAAAACATAACAAAAGTAATAATCAGCAACAGCTTCAGGTCAAAGCAGCAGAGGTGGAGTAGCCTCTGGGTGGAGCAGGACAGGTCAAAAGGTGGAGTAGCCGCTTGGTTCGGACCATTTTCTCTGCTCTAGTCCAAAGTAAAATACTAAATAGCTCATTAGCATTTTTCAAAAAGTTAGCGTTCCTCCAGTGGATTTTTGGCTGATCCGCTTTGTTCGGACCATGAAGGCAATCTGCTCTGGTCTGGACCAGTGCAAAACCATGAACACTGAACTGCAGCAACATCTCAGGTAGAAAAAAGTAAGACAAATTTAAATTGTAAAGCACAAAACAACAACTGTTTCAGAGCTACTCAGGACTAGCAGCCGTTTACAGCGCATTCAAAAGCAAACCTTTAGTTTACATTAAAAAGTAGACATTACAGAATTACTCATACATCAATCGGTTAAAATGAAACTTTGAGTAAGTCCACTTCAAGGTTTAAACCCCAGACCATTTTAAATAATGCAACATGCCCTAAAACTTTCCCAAATTATTCCTGTTATAATTGGTAGCATGCAAATGTGGCCAGTGTAAAACAGGGACAGTGCCTTGGCAAATACATTAATTAACATATTGCTTACTTCACAAAACACTGACGAACTACAGTGGGGGAAAAGAGTTGTTCATGGTTTTGTGGGCGCAGAAAAACCCATGCACTAGCACTAGGAACATTATTAATTTAGCCTATCTGCCAAGACGAATATTGTCAGGTTGGAAGAGCACAGAACAGGTCAAATGAGGATTTCCATAGAGCCGGGAAAGATGTCTGAAGTCGCCGTTTGATTGTGTCGGCGGCTCTTCCTGTTTAATAATATCCATTCTTTCATACTTCCGAGTCATGTGGCAAACAGCACCTTCCCTCTTCCCGTATCGCACTAACATCCCCACCTGTCATTACTTCAAATAACCTTTTTTCATCTTGCCGAGTGACCATTTTCTCACCATCAGGGAGCATTTAGAGGTCATTTTCGGAGCAATTAAATGTTAGCCTTTCTGCCTGCTGGCCGTCTTTCTCAGGTGCTCTTGGGAGGTCTGTGTGCAGCGAGCTAATGGCTAGCCTTTATTCTGAGTATGACCAGCTGTTCCCTCCAGCCGAACATACTCAAGACACTACCTAACAGCCACATGCAAAAAAAACTAAAAGGGGGAAAGCAGTTCTGTGTGCAGAGTTTTGTCAATGCTGTGTTTGAGATAAAAGCTGGGACATCTGCTCACAAACCCTTTGGCTCATAATTTCTATTATGAAGTGTACGGTAGCATAATCAGAGCCAATCAGATCTCGATTCAAAGCGTCATCATTTCTCCCATAACTTCACATGTTTTCCGTTGAGATCGTAAGCCAACGTGATGTTTGTCACAACGCCGCAGTCATACACTTTCTAGAAAACATTGAAAATAATGATACAAAAGGATTATCTTAAAATATTAAGTAATACATTATACATTTGATTTGATAAAGTCTTTATCAAATCAAATGTATTGCACCGTTTTTCAGATTAACAAACCTAGTACTTCTCAATCTCTACTATAATAATGATAATAATAATTGTCATTATTCTAAATACTCAGAAGGTTATGGGAGGATTTGGATAAACATTTTCAGGGACACAAGTCTGTTTTATCCCAGTGCAAAATACACTATTTGTACTGAACCAAAACTCTTATTTCACTGAATCTATTTCCTAAAGTGCACACATGCGGAACACCCAAAATAATCAGTGAGGAGAAGTATGTTTTTTATTATACCTGTATGATCTGGGCTGGATGGATTGTGCTGGTCTAGCAGTAACCAAAGCGACCTTACAGCATATATACTGTACATATAAATAGATATAAAGTGTAAAAGTTCATTAATTTCCGAAATTCAACTTAAGATGTGAAACCAATATTTGATATATACCAAGGGTCTCCAACCTATAGCTGAGGAGCTACCAGTAGCTTGCTACCCCGTTCCAGGTAGCTCCCCAAAAATAGTAGCTTAGTATTGTAGCCCTCTTCCATCTCAGGAAAGTAGTAGGTCCTTTATCAGTCCCACAATGGGGAAGTTTCAGTTTGATGCATACACATATACATATACATACATACACACATACACACACACACATACACACACACACACACACACATATACATACATACACACATACACATACACATATACATACACACATACACACACACACATATACACACATACACATACATACACACATACACATACATACACACATACATACACACACATACACACATACACACACATACACATATACATACATACACACATACATATACATACATACACACATACATATACATACATACACACATACATACATACACACATACACATACACATACACATACATACACACACACATACACATACACACATACAAATCAAGGCAAGCAGCAAACATCATTTCCGCGCTCCTTATAGGCAAAGTGGGTTAAGTGTCTTGCCCAAGGACACAACGACAGCAGACATCAGTGGGAGGTGGTGGAGAAGGCCTCGTAGTGGGCTCGAACCCACGACCTTCGGACTCAAAGGCCAATGCTCTATCAACTGAGCCACTGTCGCCCCAGATATAGATATACATATGTCAATCTTTAATTTGTTAAACTGACTTACAGTCCATTTTTTTACAAGCTGTGAGCCATAATTATCAACATTATAAAAAAATAAAGGCTATAAAGAAATATCCCCCATGGCATGTAATGAGTCACATTGTAAGTTGAACGTTGAGTACGTTGAGTTTCACCTTTATAAAAATCTCTCTCTGCAACTCTCAGCATGTACGCAGTAATCAGACACTTAAAGAACTGACAAATTGCCTTGATTAGTAAATGAAAAGCAACGGGAAAAAAAAGGTTTAAACTCCATTTTCAGAGTCACAAGACTGAAGGACTGATTCTGTGCTTGAGCCGAATTCTGCCGCAGTCAAATAATTGCTTGGAGCCTCCAGCCTGCCCCTCAACTTACCTGGCAAATGTAATCAATTTGAGCTGCACCCTGGAGACGGCCTCATCCCAGCTGCTGCCAGACAACACCGCAGATGCAAAGACAACCAATCATCTGTTCTAAGAAATGACACGTTGGCGGAAAAGCAGACGCACGCAAGCAAGTAAGGTTTGTTTTTATAGATTACCCCTGCAAAAGCAACATTTACTACAGTTGTGCTCACAGCAATCTAATTATGAGCATTTCAGGAGGTCTTTCCGTGTGAATCTTTCCGAGTAAATGTACTGCTCTCAACCCAATTTACTTTCCGACCGAATTTACTATTAAAGCTGACTTTCAAACGACGACAAAAGTAATATGTTCCACGCTCTCAAAACTATTTGGTTCTATCACTGGTTTTTGCATCAGGGTATTTTTGGGTATTCTGCTCCATCTTCAGAAAATCAAGAGAGGACCGTCTACATGCCGCCAATCTGCGTGCAACCCAAAGCGTCAGATAGTGACTCACAGGGCTATTTCTTACTAGAATGCAAAAGATAACTTGCTTTTTAGTAAAGAACAAGAATCTTTCCGCTGGGACAAATAGAATGTATTTATTAATGGAAAAAGGTAAACACAGGTAAAACAAAGGTAAAAGTGAACACATTTTCATTTTGATTGGAGAGACTTTCTGTACTCAAATCATGGATCTATAATAATAACTGGATAGGGTATTGCTAGCTTACAGCCGTCCCACCCATGGCCACAGGGGGCGCTGTGGTACTGCAGACTAAATTCACGTGGGCTGCCCAGAAAAAAGTCCCAAAGAACTCAATGTAAACTGAAACACCTTGACCTCAGCTGACAGAGAACCTGACAGAGAACCTGACAAAGAACCTGAAAGAAAACCTACAGAGAACCTACAGCTTTTATAAAGGTCGGATTTTGTGGGGATTTTAGTGTCCCTTGTCGTCCTGAACTTTTTTTCTTCTTAAATCTTTCGGTTTTCTTTAAATCCATTCTTTACTGCCACAAACTCTGCTCCTTTCCTTCCCGCTCTGACTCCGCTCTACTGCTGCTCTGATTGGTCAGAAAGTGGCCGAGCCCCTCTGTGCACGTGCACGAGAGCCACACACGTGTATTTGGCGCAAAGCATTGAAGAAGATGAGCCAAGTCTGTGATCGTGTCTTAAATTCAGACAGAAGACATGTTTTATTGTCGATGGTAGAGACAGCACGAACAACACGAACACAGATACAACAGAATGCAAGTGTATTATGCAGAGCGGAGGCATGGAGACCTCCAATCAGCAGCTGCCACAGTGCCAGCAGAGATAGTCAAAACAAGTAGTGGAAAAGTACAGGCTTCTGCACATGTAAGAATGATGAGTTTAACTTTAACAAAAGTTGCTTAAAAGTGTTATGAAATCTCACAGCATCATGGGAGCTCGTCCACTGCGCAGAACCGGGAGGACCAGACGAGGCCCAAATACAGGCGAGTTCTGCTAATCTCCCGGTCTCCATGAAGTCCCATGAACTACTGAGCACAAGCCGTTCATTTGAATAGGACGCCATCTTGGATCACCGGGGCTTGACCAAAATTGACACCCAAAAGATTCCAATGGAGGAGTTCACCCTCAGTGATCATGGGCAATGGGTAAATCCAAGAAAAGGTTATGAACTTGTGATGTATCAACAAAATATATAATCCTCTTTTTTTCTGGAGATCACCCTGCCGTTTTCTGTTATCAAACACATGAAGAATGGGCCAAAAGTAGTAAAACATGCCTCCTCTCGACATGGAACTGCAGGCTCCAAAAGAAACAAAAGACTAATTATTCAAAGAGACACTCAGAGCCCAATGCTCAGAGGACGACAGTGCGGAGAGCGTGGAGACGATTAGGAAATGTTATGAGCGATATCCAGGGACATTCAAACCAGGCAAACGGCCCCATATAAATGAGAGGGACGGCTGTTTAGACAACGGAATGTGAAAAGCAGTGGGAGCAAATCTCAGAAACTGCAGTTAGATAAAAGTGCTCATAAAATAGTATGGTGCATAGTTTTGTTTTACTGTGGCAGAGGAACAGTTGGAGGACTCAGAAGTTTCCTGGGATTAATTGGAGAGGGGGACAACACTTCTAAAGCTTTTATAAAACTCTGTCTCTATTATGGCCACTTAACAATCCCTTTGAGTGCTTTCCCACTTACAAAGGACTTGTAATTGGCCATTAAACAGACATGCTGTATTTTCAACATTTATTTAGCTGTACATGCACCAACACAATGAGATGCCAGCGCATATCCAAAACAGCCATTAGCATGCTAACTGACACGTTACTGCTTATTTTGCATGGATGATAAAATGTTTTGGCTAATTTAAGCTGGCACAAGCAAGCAATTTCACTTCACAGTACAGGGCCATTTCTTGGGAATAGAGGCGCCTTATTAAAATGTAATTTTGCTCTTTTCTCTGAAGAACGAGACAGTTAATGAAAGAAGGATGGCATTAGATTTAATGAGGACAACCCAATGACAACCTTATGGTATATTATCTCTGGGAAAACGTAGTCGTTCTAGTCAAGTACAATTGTATCAAATGATTTTATCAGTGGACATTACGACTTGAAGCTACAAACACCTGCCAAGTTAAAGAACGAGTTAAGTAAAATGTTAGAAGTATTATATCCCCATGTGCTCACTTCATTTTTTCCTTATGACTAAAAATAGATTCTAGAGAAAATGATTAAAAGTTTTTTAGACCTAGAGGGAACATGCTCATGTATCATCACCAAAGGCTCGGTCTGGGATAGTTTTTAACTATTCAGGCGCAGGGTAATAATCCATTACCCTCCAGGGGGCGCCTCAGGGTGCACCGTAGAAGATACAGTATCACATCAATAATGTTGATCACAGTGTGTCTGTGTGTGTGTCTGACATACTTTATCCTCAGTCACATACATGATATCAAGCTATTTAGCATGGCATTTCTATGGGAAGTTTGCATGTTCTACACATGCCTGCATACGTTTCAGCTGGGTGCTCTGGTTTCCCAATAAAAGCATGTAAAACATGTTTAATGTAATGAGTAAATGGATTGTGATGGACAGGGGCTTCTCTGTGCTCAATGTTTGGTGCCTGTCATCACTGTGTGTGTTTGTGTGAATGAAAGTTTCTGGTACAGTGCTTTGTGTGACCTTGGTCTGTGAAATCCACTATATAATTAAAGTTCAATTAAATTAGTTACTAAGAGTGACAAAAAAGGTCAAAGTATTATTGTTATTATTATTATTATTATTATTAAAGGGGCAGTCCTCAACTGTCGTGGTAGTGACCTGCTTTTGTAAAGAGGCTGATGCCTGCTGTTGCCATAAATGTCATTGCTTTGCTCAAAAGGTTGCTCAGTTTAAAACATGTACATTCCTCAATTATGGATGATTTTAGTGCTTTGAAACCATCAAGTGGTCACAGTAAAATATTGTTTTGCTGAGATGGTTAAGTTTCATCCTGTAATTTGCCACCAACACTGTATAACTCATTTATTTATTATAGTATTCAAATATATAGTTATACCTGAGCTGTTGTTTGCAGAATCATCGTAAAGACCGGAGAAGATGTCCTCTCCTGCCCTCAGAGAAATGTGTGTGCGGACAATCCCGGTGGCGGTAACGTTCGGCTTCTTTCCACACATTAGCTTGTCAAAACTTCCAAACATGTCTCGGCGAAAATCCAGCAAGAGAGCGGATTCAACGCTTTGAGAATCCCGAAACTCTCTCCACTAAATACATCAAACAATTTTGTATTAGTTTATTGAGGCAAACAAAAGAAAATACAATTTGAAGCCGTGACTTACTGCCTCCAAGACCCGTGCAGCTTTCATCGAGGTGCTTTGGATTAGTAGAGCTGTGGCCAATGGATCCAGTCCTAGGTTTGATGGAACCTGCAAAGACAATTTAGACAAACTATTATGTTGTTAAAATGGGCACCTACACCGGAAAACCACATAAAAAAGTGTTATGCGGTCATTTTGGAGCAATATATAATTCTCAAGACATACTGTTATATGGTGGTGGATGGGGAGAGACATAGAAAGATACTATAGAAAAAGTAAATGACAAGAATAAGTTACCCTATAGAGCTGAGACTGGGTTTGATTACGGAAGTAAACAAGTCCATTGCCCATTCAAAATCCCCACATGCTTTTTGTAAAATCCAAATATCACATGTTTGAAGACACCGCAGAGGCTGACTATAGAGGTGCGTTAGTTTCGGCCAAAAGAAGCAATCTAAAAGTCAAAATAACAGTCTCGTCACTGTGCTGCAGTCAGTTATATCGCAAAATTACAACAAATTAGGAAATGCTTCATAACTCAACATGATTTAATGCATCAGTTCATACCATTAATTCATTACGAGTTAATTCTAATGATTCCTGACACACTCCTCCTGATGGGGCAAGCCCAAAACACGGCAGGCACACAGGCGGAATCAAAAACAGATGCCCGAGCCACCTCAACCGGCTCCTCTGGACGTGGAGAAGCAGTGGCTCTACCCCAAGCTCCTTTCAACTGACCAAGCTCCTCACCCTATCTCTGAGGAAGCACGCAGCCACTCTGCAGAGGAAACTCATGTGGACCGTTAGTGTACCGGTCAGTACCCAAAGCTTGTGAGAGAGGACAGATCGACCGGTAAATGGCCGAGCTTTGGCTTTTGACTCAGCTCCCTCTTCACCACACTCTTCTGATGCAGAGACCGCACAAGCCCCGGTGATCCAAGATGGCGTCCTATTCAAATGAATGGCTTGTGCTCAGTAGTTCATAGGACTTCACGGAGACCGAGAGATTAGCAGAACTCGCCTGTATTTGGGCATCGTCTGGTCCTCCCGGTTCTGTGCAGTGGACGAGCTCCCATGATGCTTTGCGCCAAATACGCGTGTGTGGCTCTCATGCACGTGCACAGAGGGGCTCGGCCGCGCTCTGACCAATCAGAGCTGATCAGAGCAGCAGCAGAGCGGAGTCAGAGCGGGAAGGAAAGGAGCAGAGTTTGTGGCAGTAAAGTGTGGATTTAAAGAAAACCGAAGGATTTAAGAAGAAAAAAAGTTCAGGATGACAAGGGACACTAAAATCCACACAAAATCTGACATTTCTGAAAGTTGTAGGCTCTCTGTCAGGTCCTCTGTCAGGTTCTCTGTCAGGTTCTCTGTCAGGTTCTCTGTCAGGTTCTCTGTCAAGTTCTCTGTCAAGTTCTCTGTCAGGTTCTCTGTCAGGTTCTCTGTCAGGTTCTCTGTCAGGTTCTCTGTCAGGTTCTCTGTCAGGTTCTCTGTCAGGTTCTCTGTCAGGTTCTCTGTCAGGTTCTCTGTCAGGTTCTCTGTCAGCTGAGGTCAAGCTGTTTTAATTTACATTGAGATCTATGGGACTTTTTTCTGGGTAGCCCACGTGAATTTAGTCTGCAGTTCCACAGCGCCCCCTGTGCCCATGGGTGGGACAGCTCTAAGATAGTAATACCCTGCCCAGTTATTATTATAGCTCCATGAGACCGCATCACCAAACAAGTCTCCGAGATACTTCTTCACTTCTTGCACAAATTCAACACATCAAACCTGTTATATTGTACACCTTTTATGCGATGAAAACAGACATCATCAAAGCCATTTCCTGTCTGAAAATAAACAGATATGTCCTGACTCATCCTCTTGTTATTCTTATCAAAATCGTATGCGGCCGTCATGTCTTGAGTGTGGAGATTTGATGTTCTTTGTCGTCCATTTGCTCGAGGCGCCGGGGGGTTCTTGATATATATTTTTCATACGTAGCGCATCTTGTCAGTGCGTTGCTCTTCGTGTGTTTGAAAATGCCTGTGGGCTTAAATTGTTCAAATGCTCTCCTCTACGAGCTTCCTGCCTTATCACTTATTTATTGGATTTTCTGTCCCGTATATTTTCTCTGAAAGATAAACTCAAAGGAGAGTGCGCAGGCTTTCATCATCACCCAAAAGGGACCGCTATATTTTTAAAGGAATTTGAGAAAACGTTGGTTCCGATAAATAATTCCAAGCATTTCACTTAAATCATAGTATGGCACAGAACTTTTTTTTTTTGTCAGAACATAATTTATGAATGATGCCGACGTGGAACTCCATGATCCATTAGATTATCTTTACACTGTGGACTGAAGAGACAAATATAGCGTTTAACTTTTAAATTGGTTGGATCTGACAATCATTGTAATTAGATTGAATTTATTGTAAATCCAGAGAGATCAGCAGTTGAGTTTCTTCCTTCATTAACCCAGGAAAATGTTTTAAATTACTTCATAACTGATCTGATATTCATGCAGCAAATTACAATGTGCAGCCACCTTTGCGTTTTTATACTGTACATTTTCTCCATGTGAATCAAAAAGTGGATTCCAATGTATTCAAAGTGCTTTAAAATGCAATATTCATCCCCTTCCCTTGGTCCACTCAGAACAGACTTACTGTATATAGCCACAGTTGCCCCAGGGCAGACTGAAAGATGCAAACCTATCAATCTGGACAAACACACACACACACACTTACAAACACATGCCTACGCAAAAGGTATTCAACACACTACTTGCTAACTACAGAACAAAATTTATAATTATGTTAAAGCGTTTACAGCAGTTGTATATTTTGTGAGCTCCCTATGTGCTCGGACTACTGGCATGTGCTGCAACACTGACATTTCCCAACATACCTGCTTTTGTAAAGAATATATCACAAAATACCAGGATTCAAGAGAACGCTTAAACCACGGTGAGTGTGACACAAACGGCTAGAGGAGTTCACTTTTCAATGTGAATAGCAGCAAAAGAAGAGTTGGAGCAAAATGTGTCTATGAGTTCTTCCCAATTGGACTTCACTGAGCTAGGGAAGGGGTCTCAAACCGGTTCAAGAAAGGGCCAAGTAGCTGCAGGTTTTACTTCCAACAGTAAAAGGAGCAGAGATGACTCCACCCATTTCCTCAGGTGAGTCCAGTTTTAACCATAGGCTGTATATATTAACTGTATATATTAACGGACGTAGTTACGCCTATCTCCGCCGTTCTAACTAATGGGCCAAAACTTGGGCTTTCATGGAGTGCGGGGGCTGGAAAATGTGAAAAAACACATCTGCGCATGCGTCAGCTGCACGAGCTCCATTCATTTAAACGAGTGACTTAAAAAAAACTAGACTGGTCCAGAACACTCCCCTCAGCATTGACACACATGTGGAACGGAGCTTTGGGCCAAGAGACAACTTTTGGACCATCCTGTAAAGATGTTTTCGAGAGGTAAGAAGATGCTATATGTTAGCATTGGCTAATTCTTATTCCGGGTCCACCCCCACAGGCCCGGGGTGGTATTGCAGCATGTCAGCGCACGTCATTTCGGCCACTTTTGAGCCGGGACCCGCCCCCACTGATTTTAACCTGAAGATTTGAGGAAATGGGTGGAGTCATCTCTGCTCCTGCTCAGTGTTGGAAGGAAAACCTGCAGCCACAGCGGCCCTTTCTGGAACCGCTTTGAAAACGCTGATCCAGGGGGTTAGCAATGTTCAACTGCAGTATATACAGTCTGTAAATACTGTATATACACAAACATCTATTATCTAATGTTACTACAGTACACATACTTACATAGTGAGCCAAACTTTCTTGCACAGTGTTTCCCAAACTGTAGTGTTAGTGCTGATACGACCTGATTCCATCTTCTGTATTTTTATGTCTTAGTAAAAATTTTAGAGATTTCAGAGCTCAACGTTTCTAATCCTATCAGTCACAGAAGCTATAACTTCAAAGGGCTCGTCCTTTGTTCCGTTATCAGCCACCACCTGGGCTCTCTTAGGAAATACCTTTTGGAGATCATCCTCAATAACTGCTCTAATGGAGGAGAGACTGTGTATTGACCGATCATTTAACCAGATTCCAGGATGCCATGTGACATCACACACACATGATTTGAATGAGTGAAGGTGGTTGGAAGTTTGTAAGCTTGTGCTTCATCTTGCCCCTCTTCAAAATATAAGTGTACACATGTGTCATTATGTTGGCTGGATTTGTATCTTAGATGTTCTCAAATAAACATTGGGAATAATTGATTGATTACTTAAGATTGAGAACCGCTGCTCTTGTTCCTCAGGTGTACAGAATTTTTTATAATCAAGATGTTTTGAGTGAAAAGGTTGAAATCCTGTTGGAGATCATAACAAACATGTAGACCGACTGGTTTGCAAGTTGCTTTCAGATTCAGATTCAGATTCATTTATTTGCCATTTGCAGTAAAACCACATTGGAAAAACTGTGCAAGACTACCCCAGTGTGCACCAGACGACACACACCAGAGCTCTTGCCACGGCGCCATCTTTATGGCGCCATGTGACACAGGAGCTTAGTGATTTTATGGTGAACACAGGTACCAGATGTGGATGTAGACGGCAGTATTTTCTTCTTCTTGCTCTTATCCAAAAAACACAACCTTTGAATTCCACAATGTGTTCATGGGCTACATTGTATTCTGTCGGATAGCATAAATAACCTGACACATTTCAGTTATAATCTTACAACACAATGTCTTTTTTTTGTGCTCTTCTGAAAGTCCTTTCTGTTTTGTACTATGCTATGCAACACTGAATTGTCCTCACTGTGGGACAAATTACGTCTTGCATTGCGTGGTCTCTGTCCTCGTTATACGACCTGAGTCCTGGATCTGGAACCCGTCTGTCTGTGGGAGCGGACCCCTCCCTCAATGTGGGCCTCCCCAAGGTTTCTCACTTTTCTCCCACTGGGTTTTAAAGTTTTTCCTTGTCGATGCAGGAGGGTCTAAGGACAGTGTTGACGATCCAGGACATTCGACGTTCAACAACAGTAATCGACCTTGGTCATCCGCCCCTTATGGACCAATGGCTCTTGGTGTCTTTTACCATTGCGTTTCCTGTGTTTCACCAGCTTGATTCTCTGACCTGTGTTCGTGAATCGACAACTTTGCAAAGTCCTCCAAGAACTACTGTTGTGATTTAGAGCTATACAAAATTAAATTGAATTGAATTACCAACACATAAATAGACACGCTCCTGTTCCTGCATCTGTTTTTCTCGCCTCAAAACTCATTTCATGTTTTGAAAAGTCGCATTTGCAAACATCCAGGCAACACATTTCATCTACAGTCTGAAAGTGTCCGAGAGTGGACGAGTTTCGAGATGAGCTTGTCGTTACCTCGGCGAGCACTTTTCCAGCATCCAGATTTTGCAGCAGAACTTGTTGTGTGTTAATCAGCTGCTGCGGAGACAAGGAGCAGCTGACGTTCTGAAAGGCTTCTCTCTCGTCCCGGATCATGAATTGGATGTAGTTGTCCAGCTCAGTCCCCTCACACAGAATGCGCCTCACGTTCCCCTGTGTGAGTGCGTTCGCTGTCTGGTAAGTATACAGGAAAAAGAAAGTAAGAAAGTAATGCTTTTTTATATGCACATTTTGACAGACCAAGGTCACCCACAACCCTTTACAATGTTCAGAGTTCAGCTTTTTTCTCTATTCTCTCCATGCACGCTGATAAAAGAAGCGAGATGGCGAACACACTAGAGCAGGGGTGTCAAACTCATTTTGGTTGAGGGCCGAATAAAAAAAGAAAGGGCTGGTCAGGGGCCAAAAAAATAAGTGGGTTTCATTTATTGCACTTTTTTATATTATGAAGGTATCTAAATAAATGACTTGTTTCACATTAGTTGGATTGTAAATTCTTTTCTGATTAGCATTAGTTCAGTTCCTGTGACTGAACCAAAACTGGACCAAATATTGAAGTATATAGGAAGATTTTCTACTTTTGGGTGGATCATCGAGATTATTGGTCCTCCCAACTGTCAATCATTCTGGGGATTTGTGCTTGTCAAATAAGACCAGAGAGTTTTGTTCAAAAAGTGGAGAGGGCGGTTGTTTCCTAAAAAAATTGTGAAATCCTCCTTCATATCTTTAAGAAGAAATGTAATTGGGGAATAATAACTTCTAATTACATGTTGGCTCAACATTTCTTATGGAATTACATTGTACGGTTGTTTTCTTGAAAAAAATAGTAATGGATAACATGTCATTGTCACATATTTCCATTAATGCTGCTATTTAATATAATAATTTAAAATAATCTAAAATCATCTCAGGGGCCTCTGGAAATGGTCTCGCGGGCCGGATCTGGCCCCCGGGCCTTGACGTTGACACCTATGCACTAGTGCAGCCATTCCCAAACTCAGTAACACCGAGGCCCCCTTAAAAATCTGACGGGTCTGCGTGGCCCCCCCAAAATAATAACCAAGAAGACAACATTAAGAATAGGCTCTTCTGGTTATTTTATTTTGGGGAAATAGCCTCTGCTACAAACATTTTAATACAAAAATGATTACAGTGGCTTATTCAAGTCAAATAATGAACACAAATATTTTAATATTACAAACAAAACATTATAAATTTAACATTAAATAATTATATTATTTTTTTATTTTTTTTATGACCTCCCGCGGCCCCCCTGCAGTACCCACGCGGCCCACCAGGGGGCCGCGGACCCCACTTTGGGAGACACTGCACTAGTGCATCAAAGCCGCCAACCAGCACCATCCAATCACTCACTCATCACATTCATACCTATCGTGCATGTTTTTAGTGGTAGGGGAAACCGGAGCATGCGGAGGAAACCTAGGTAGGCACGGGTAGAACATGCAAACTGCACTCGGAAAGGCCCTGTTCCGTCGGGATTTGAACCCAGGACCTTCTTGCTGAGACTAATGGTTCCGAGACAAAACTTCAAGAGTTTGATGATACGAAAGGAAAGTACTGTAGATTCCTGACAAAAACCATCTTTAAAACGCTCTAGTCTGTAAAGTGAAGCAAAATTGTGTGTTTAATATATGTATATATGAATGAAGATCTTGTGGTTAGTACTTTGCAAATGTTTTTGATAGTTGAACAGCCCTTGTTAAATTTTGCATCTTCTTTTTGACGGGGAAATTTTCCGTCCAGAAACTCTAGCTCCGCCCACTTCACGTCTCCATAGGACTTATGGTGGATAGATTACTATGGCCTACGCAGGTGGACAAACGCAAGACAAAATATCTGGCCCTCACAGTCACAGGGTCCCATTGTGAATCCATGTTATGACTCTGATATGTTCTGATTGTCTCTGGATGCGACACGTTTGTCTTTCTGTGTGTGACGTATCTGTAACGTAACAATTTATAAACCATGCCCTGACTTTGTTCTGTCTGAAAAAACTGAAACCTGAAGGAAACTGAATACACTTCCAGGAGCTCTGATGCGGATGATCCCATCTCTGTGTGGTTAATCTACGACAGATTGCACCCAAAATAATTCTCGCAGAAATATATTGTGGTTGTCTTCTACTTTGCATCAATGCCGAGAGCTATATCGCAAATACAAATTGATATCATAGAAGAGATGTAAAGACTTCCTGACCTTTTGACTATCGACAAAAAATCTGATGAATTGAAAGAACAGTTCTGTATTCATATCGAACTGAAAATCTGTTGCATTTTATATTTCTACTAATATGAAACCATGATTTAGTCGACAACCAAAGACCCATGCTTATATGGTCGAAACTGATGCTGAAGCCAAAAAATATGCAAATCAAAGGGAGATTCTGAAAAGATTATTTTGAAATGTTACTATGTTTATTGTACGTAAATGAAGGTGTGTGCAAACCGCCTGGACTTGACCTGGTTAGGAATTTATTTTATTTTTTTACCATAAAAATCCTTTGTGAAGTGCAGACAGTGTCCATCTTTATTTTTTTGGTGTTGTTTTTGTTTTTTTTTGTTTTTTTTCCTTCAATGGAAATATATGTAATAATAATAATAATAAGTCCTTAAACGGGACAATTAAAACAGACAAAACCTTTCACAAGACAGTTGGAATGAGTGAGTGAGTGAATGGGGGATGAGGGAGGGTGGGGCGGTACACTTGTTATGTAAGTGTATCTTGTATTTTTATGTTAAACTGATGATTTTCTGACAGTTGAAAATAAAAACAAATACAAAATACAAAAATAAATACAAAAATAAGACCCATTCTCTTCACTAACCAAAAACAAAGCAGTCTCACTGCTGTACCTAACTTCGCCGCTCATAAACTATACAAGTGTTTTGTCCCCAACAGAAAGCAAGGCAAGGCAAGGCAAGTTTATTTATATAGCACAATTCATACACAAGGCAATTCAAAGTGCTGAACAAAACAAGAAAGCATTAAAATCATAAATTATCACAGAACATTAAAAAGAAAGATAAAAATATAAAATCCCTCAGTTGTATGCACAGTTAAACAGAACTGTCTTTAACCTGGTTTTAAACATTGTCAGAGAGGAGGCCTGTCTCACATCTTCAGGAAGACTGTTCCAGATTTTAGCAGCATGAATCTGAAAAGCAGCCTCCCCATGTTTAGTTCTGACTCTGGGCACTAACAGGAGTCCAGTCCCTGTGCTCCTCAGAGTCCCAGCAGGAGTCCAGTCCCTGTGCTCCTCAGAGTCCGGGCTAGTTCATATGGGACTAACATGTCACTAATATATTTTGGTGCGAGGCTATGGAGAGACTTGTACACAAGCAGAGCTGTTTTAAAGTCTATTCTCTGAGCCACAGGAAGCCAGTGCAGAGACCTGAGAACTGGACTAATGTGGTCGTACTTCCTGGTTCTAGTCAGGACTAATGTGGTCGTACTTCCTGGTTCTAGTCAGGACTCGAGCTGCTGCATTTTGAATGTACTGCAGCTGTTTTACAGCCTGTTTGGACAGACCTGTGAGCAGGCCATTGCAGTAGTCTAACCTACTGGAGACAAATGCATGGATAAGAATCTCCAAGTCTGCTTTAGACACTATGTTTTTGATCCTGGCAATGTTTTTTAGATGGTAAAAAGCTGCTGATGTTACTGATTTGATGTGGCTATTAAAATTTAAGTCTGAGTCCAGTATTACCCCTAGATTTCTGACCTTGTTTGAAGGTTTTAGGGAGAGAGACTGTAGATGACAGATGACGCTCTCTCTTTGTTTCTGGGGACGAAAGACAATCATTTCAGTTTTGTCTGCGTTTAGCTGAAGGAAGTTGTTTTGCATCCACTCACTGATCTGTTGGATACAGTGAAGGAGTGAGTCCACTGGTCCATGTTCTCCTGCAGTCAGTGAGACATAGATCTGAGTGTCGTCTGCATAGTTATGATAGGAAACTTCGTTTCTGCGTATTAACTGACCTAACGGCAGCATGTAGAGATTGAACAGAAGAGGTCCCAGGATCGACCCCTGTGGGACTCCACAGGTCAGGGCCATATGATCTGAGACACAGTTTCCAATCTCCACAAAGTACTTCCTGTCTTCAAGGTAAGACCTAAACCAACTTAGGGCGGTGCCAGTGACGCCAACCCAGTCCTCTAGTCTCTGTAAGAGGATCTCATGGTCGACGGTGTCAAAGGCAGCACTTAGATCTAACAAGATTGAGACTTTGCCTGCGTCAGTGTTCAGCCGGATATCGTTTGTAACCTTAACGAGAGCAGTCTCAGTGCTGTGGTGGGGTCTAAAGCCGGACTGAAACATATCAAATGAGTTGTTGATTATAAGAAATCTAGTAAGCTGTAGGTAGACAACTTTCTCAAGGACTTTCCCCATAAATGGCAGATTTGAGATGGGACGATAGTTGTTAAGTACCGTAGCATCGAGACTGCTCTTTTTTAGCAGGGGCCTGATGACTGCAGTTTTCAGGGCCTTTGGGAATATTCCAGAATGAAGGGACATGTTTACTATCTGTGTGAGTGAATGTAACAGACTGCTCAGAACAGACTTTAGAAATCTAGTGGGTAGTACATCCAAGCTGCATGTGGAGGAGCTCAAACTGGAGATTATCTCTTGGACAGTTTTATCATTTACAGGTGCAAAGTGAGTTAGCTCAGAGAGCCTTTCTGGCTGTTGGATGGTTATCTGTGGATTGGAGACAATGGCGTTTTTGATGCCTTGAACCTTGTCATTGAAAAAATGAGCAAACTCATTGCATTTACGTTTGGAAGTAAGCTCTAATGGCATTTGAACAGGGGGGTTTGTTAATCTATTAACTGTTGAGAACAGAACACGCAGATTGTTGCTGCAGCCTTCAATCATTTCAGAAAAATACCTTTCTCTCGTACTACGTAGCACCCGGTTAAACTCGCACAACTTATCTTTGAAGATCTCGTAATCAACCTGGAGGTTGGACTTGCGCCACTTCCGCTCGGCCCTCCGGCACTCTCTCTTTTGTGCCCTGACCGAGTCTGCTTTAGCCCACGGCGCCTTCTGCTTATTTTTCACTATTTTAACCTTCACAGGGGCAACGGTATCCAGAACATTCAAAACACTAGAGGTGACAGAGTTAAACAGTTCATCTACAGTAGAATACGAT